ACCTGGGTCACATGGGAAATTTGCTCAAATGCAGGTTATAATTCAGTGAATCTCAGATCGGACTTGAGAATGTGTTCCAACAAGCTCCAGGCAGCGCAGTGGCTGCTGCTCTTAGACGCCTTAGGAACTACAATGACTTTGAGAAAAATTCAGACTTTCTTCCTGTGTCCTACCGTATCTGGGCCCTGCCCGGCGGTGCCGTGTGCCACGTCTTCTTCAGTCCCTGTCCTCTCCCATCATGTTGTAGCTACGCTAGCCTTCAGTCCGTTCCTGGAGTCCGCCAAGTTGTTCCTGCCTTAGGGCTTTTGCACGTGATGTTCCCACTGCCTGGAATGTTCTTTTCCTGAAGCTCTACAGGACTTGCTTATCTTTATTTAGACCTTAGTTCAAGGATCAGTTAGAGTACTTCTCTGACCACTTTATCCAGTGAAGTACTTAATCCCTCAGGGACTATCAGCTACTTGCCTTTGAAAGTTTTCTTTTGAGCAAGAGAGACAGAGACAGAGAGAGTGAGGAGCACCCCTAATAGGGTCTTGACTCCATGCTCCACTTCCAGTTTCAGCCAGCCCCAGAACATGGGCACGTGTGTGCCCAGCATACTCTGCGAGGTCCCAGACGTGAACCCGGAATCTGCCCATCTGGTCAGCCTTACAAACCGTGGGGCTTTTCCACTGCACCCTGGTCCAGCTCCTGTTTTGTTTTCACAGCATTTATTACTGTGACTTTATTTTGGTAATTTATTTCCTGACCTGTCAATTTCTTGCCTCCTCCCTCACATATGTTCCACACAGATAAGGACTTGGTTTCCTTCACTCTGAGCAGATCCCAGAGCCCAGCACCTGGTATGGACCCTTTTCAAATTTGTTGGCCCCGTGCGTGAACACGCTCCCACAGTGCTGTGGTGTGTAGATGTGTGTGGGGGGGAGTCCACGCTGGGAGCATGTAGACGGACTTTCATAGAGGTCCCTGAGGCAGAGGGCAGGGGAGAGGGAGGGCAAGCTTTCTATATTGAGGGTGCTGCAGAAGAAGTCTTGAGAAAGTGGACTTGACTTTGAACAGGAGAATCAATACATAGTAAATCAATTAATCTGACTAGAAGAGATTCATTCTGGAAGGGGGGAAGAAAGTAATGAATATTTGTTAAATGAGTTAGTAAGGCATTTGAGACAGTGAAAGTAAACACATAAGGGAATAACCAGATATATCAGATGGTTATTTTATGACCACTTTGCATAATTACCTGTTCATCCTCATAACACATTATCATGGTCTTGCAAATGAAGAGCTGGACATGGGATTAGGACATTTGCCCCAGTTCACAGAAGACTTGCCCAAGGTCATTCAGCGATTCAGAGACAGGGTTGCTGAATTCTTTCTTTCTCCCCCTCCCCACCTCCCTTTCTACACCAGATCTATTCAGAGTTGTGAACCCCACACTCTCTGTCCCCCTCTGCCCCCCGCCCTGCTCTATGTTGGGCCATACCCTTTCTTACCACCCGGTATGCTGGGCATGCTACTGATTTATCTGTCTGTCTTCTCTCACTAGAATATAAATTCCCTAAGGGTAGAGGTCTTTATTTTGTTCACTGTGGTCTTCCAGAGCTCGGAACAGGGCCTGCCACAGAGGTAGACATTAATGCGAAAGGGATGAATGAAGAGGTGATTTAAAAATCATTGCTTTCTCCACCTCTGAGAGGCTGTTCTGTAAATGTGTGGTCACAGAACACTGAACTCCAGAAGGCTGAAGTCTTTTTGAGATCAATCGGGCAGGAATGCTGCAGCCTGCGGAATGCTTTCCACAAAAGAAGGCCTGTGCGCATAGGCAGGACTGGAGGGTGACAGCAGAGTAGCCCGGAGCTGGTGTTTGTCTAGTCTTCAGCCCTGAGAGAGCCATCCCGGTGGCGTGGGTAGGTATGGATGCCACAGGCTGGCAGTGGCCCTTGGTAGGATGTGGCTTCCCATATAAAGTGGCCCTGGAGGGAGACTGTGTTGACCAGGCCCCTGTGGCAATTACAAGCTTGATGGAAGTGCATAAATAGGCACTTAATAGGTGGTCTCTGGTGAACTGAGCGAGTCTGCTGCTTAAGGCGGGCGGCTCTGGTTGCTGGATGAATGGTGGTTCTGAACCAGCCAGGCTGAGCCACAGATGGTCCTGCACCATCATTCTCTGGCCGCCGACCTCCCTCTGCACCAAGGCTTCTCAAAGCGTGGTCCCCGGACCAAGAGCATCTGCACCGTCTCAGAACTTGCTAGAAATGCAGATTCTCTGGCCCATCCTCTAGCCTACAGAATCAAAAACTACAGGGTGGGGTCCAGCATTCTGGAATCAACAAGTCCTCCAGGTGATAATCATGCACTCTCAGGTTGGAGAGTCACAGTTGCACTTTCTCTTTCCAGGCAGTTTGCCAGGGGTGGGGTGGTAGTGAGGGGTGGGTTAGCGTAGCAGACAGATGTGGGTGATTCATAGGCACAGTGCAAGAGCAGGGAGTCCTGTTAAAAGCTGAATAAGGATCGGATCAGCGATTCTTTTTTGTTTCTAATTTTGCCAGAGGGTGCATAAACTTAAATTGGGAGAGAAAGTGAGGATGGAGTACGGTCATGCTGCCATTCCTTCTCTTCCATTATCTCCTTCCTTTCTCCTTTAGGGATTTTGGGCATGCATGCACACATGCTTAGCATGTTTTTCAGGCCACTGGGTCTGGGACTTGAACCGCATAATCAGCCCTGTGGGACCTGGATGAGTGATCTTTCATCAAAGGAACTTCCTCATATTTCAGGAAATCTTCAGAGGAGGGGTTAGTTTGCAAAAGCTTTTCTTTTTTTTTAATTTAAAAAATTTTTGCCATAGGGCACATGTGCTCACTAGAGAGACATTGAAAAGGAAAGTGAGAAATCACCCCACCCCACCCCCGGACAGGAGCAATGGCTGCACTGCAACCCCTTCTCCTCCATTCTCCTTTCAGGATTTTGGGCACACATGAATGTGTGTGCAGTGTGATTTTCAAGCTGCTGGATCTGGGACTGGAAGTGTGGTCAATTATGTGGAAGTCCAGTGCCTTAACCACTACACCAGTTGATGTCTCCTCACCCTGGCAAAAGCTTATTTTAAAGTTATCATAGTCTTGTTTTTTAGACCTGATATTTAAAAATACCAGTTGATGTTAAAAAAAGGTGTAATATAAACTGCCACCTAGTACTGATTGTTTCAGTGTCTTTAGTTCAAGTGGGAATATAATGCTGGGGTCCTACCTTCTAGCTAATCTTCATTTTCATCCTAAAAAGGAAATCTACCGGGACCAGCATATAGTGTAATGGTTACGTTGCTGAACTCCTACATAGTTGACTGTGGTTCGAGTCCTGGACTGGCTGGTGGTTTGATTTCTCGCTTTCTGCCTCTCTGTCGCTTATGTGTGCCCCCAAAATCTCTCCCCGTCAAAAAAAACCTATTTGTCTACCTATGTGGACACACCTGCCCCTACTAAGTGCCCAGGCCTCAGCCGGCTTGAGGAATAAGAGCAGTGAGGTGTAGGACCTGCCTAAAAGGACTCATAAATGAGGTTTGCTCAGCTGTATAAAGCCCCCACTGTGTGCCACACACTGCATTTGGTTCTGTGAAGAGGCACAAGATAAGTTAACCAGTGACTTCTGTAATCAAGGAACCAATAAAAAATTCAGGAGACATTCCTTCCAGTGTGGCAGTTGCAGGAAGTATGGAGGTGTGGGACCTTTGATCAGAGTCTTGGTTTTCAGTTTTGCCAGATTATAGAACATACCAGGTGAACTGATGGACTACCGGGGAACAGGTGGAGTGGGGGTTGAATGTTGGGTTAGGAAGAGCAGATAGGGACCAGCAAACATGAACCCCTGGCTAGCAGTATTGCTCCCCTGTCCAGTCCTGGGTCCAAGGCCGTATGTAGATCTGAGGTTCCACGATGACAATTGCTAACTTTTATCTAGTGACGACAGGTCAGTAATCGGTCTAAGTACTGTACATATATTAACTCATTCATTACAGGAACCCTATGATAGAGGTACTATTATCACCCCACCCGACTGACAAGGAAACGCACTCAGGAAAGCGAACTCGTCCAAGGTCACACACCAGGCAGTGGTGGGTTCAGAATTTGAACCCAGGCTGTGTGCTCTAGAGCGCTACGAAATGCCAGACAAAAAGCGTGCTGCCTTGTGTCCCAGCCGGCTTGTGGGTTGTAGATGGGAAGGGGTGGGACGCTTATTTTGGTGGGTAAATGGGTTGCAGAGGAAGCGCTTTCATCTTTATGCCTGAGCATTCCCTTTGGCGTAGACGATCCAGAGTACAGTGCTATGTGAACCAGTTGCTAGAAAAGTACTTCAAGCCCCTTCCCACTAGATGGCGGCCCCTAAACCCACCACAAATTCTGGAACCTCCACTGTCCCCATCTTCCAAGGCTGAGCTACCGCTGAGGAGCTGCAAGATGCACACCCTCCCTCGTCTCCGCCCCGGCCCGCCCCGCCCCATCCGGGGGTCTTGCGAGCTCCTAGGCTGGGGGCGGGGGGGCGAGGCTCCCCC